TTAATTCACCCAATTTATAAGTTGCATTATCCAATTCAAATTCATAAATATATCTTTCTTTACAATATTCTTTTTCAATTTCAGTAAGCTTTTCATTTCAGTTACTAATGATAAAAATTTAGCCTTTTGAATTTCTCTTTTAGATGTGTTTGATGAAGTATTATTATAAATATCATTTGCAATTGATACAGAATCATCACGTAATTCATCATAAGTTCTATACACAAAATTTTTTCTATATAATGATAATGATGACAATAAATTGCGAAATGACATTTTTTTTGAATTATTATAAAAAAAAAAGATTTAAATCAAAATCCCTTTTATGGAAATTCACAAAGTATTTTTATTCTGTAGGACAAAATACAAAAATAGGAATCTAAGATTGTTTTTGAAAAATGGTTAACACAAAGCAAAAAAATTATTGGAGAACATGTGGCAAATTATGTTGATTAATTGAAGCAATTTATGGTTAAAGATATTGTTATGCCATTTAGAAAAAAAACATTGATTTCTTTTAATAAAATAAATTTATAAGTTTTTTTGTGTTAAAAAATATATATTCTTTTTTAACCAGTCCAATGAATGCATATTACATGTATAGTACTTACACACCAACACTGTGATCAATAATTAAATTTATACTATATAAAAAAAGGTCTTGCTTGAAAATATGACTATCCTCAATTCAGATTTGAGTGACCCATTTGGAATCTTAGCTATTAGCGGGGAATATCTTTATTATACAAGGTATATCTTCAATTAATCAAGTTTTAATGATATAGTAGTAGTATCCTTTCCACCATTTTGCCTCAATATATCTTTGGATATCCAATCATCAACTTGTACTTGATACAATGATATTATTGCTTTTCTTCTCAGAAAATTGAATCAGATTATTACATGTGTATTCAGATCAAGCTATCATTTCAACTAATACATTTGAGGTTTTTTTGATAAATTTTACCAAATATTTGTGACAAGATCCTATTAATTAATAACTTGGCAAGGGAAATGATTGAGTATATAGACTTTGAAAGCTTGAAATTTTTGAGAATCTTATTCCTGACTAATGTCACCGGAATGCGAATTGGACCTTAATTCGCTGATCAATAACCCTGAAAATCCGGAGTAATATTTTATATCTTAT